TTTCCTGGAGCACCATTTCTAGAATGTTCAGCAATGCCTGACCCAAGCTTACCTCTCCACGGCATAATGAGACTGTATGGGACTGCGGGCACTCTGCTGACCCTCTATATAAACTTCTTCCACAATAGATTTTGTTTTGTACCTGCATCACGTGTCTCTAGTATGTTTCTCACAATCCTGGGCCTGAAAGAATCTTAGAGATTCTTTAAAAAAAAAAAAAATTTTTAGGGTGTGTGGGTGGCTCAGTGGGTTAAGCCTCTGCCTTCGGCTCAGGTCATGATCTCAGGGTCCTGGGATCGAGCCCTGCATTGGGCTCTCTGCTCAGTAGGGAGTCTGCTTCCTCCTCTTTCTCTGCCTGCCTCTCCGCCTACTTGTGACCTCTCTCTCTCTCTGTGTCAAAGAAATAAATAAAATCTTAAAAAAAAATATTTTATTTATTTCTTTGACAGACAGAGATCACAAGCACGCAGAGAGGCAAGCAGAGGCCAAAGGCGGGGCTGGGGGCGGGGGAAGCAGGCTCCCCAATGAGCAGAGAACCCAATGCAGGGCTCCATCCCAGGACCCTGGGATCAGTGACCTGAGCTGAAGGCAGAGGCTTTAACCCACTGAGCCACCCAGGCGCCCCGAATCTTAGAAATTCTTGAAGAATCTCTAAGGTCACTTCTCACCAATCACAGAGATGGATGGCCATGCCAATAATTTCAAATGGATTTTCAAGGAATACCCACATTTCTATATTTCTTGCTGACAGTATAACAGATTCACTAATATTGCCACTACAGAATTTATGTTTAGCAAATTACTACACTCCTCTAGGCAGAATATCTTGTTTCATCATAATTATGGTTTTCAGTCCTGTTTACATCTCTACATCCTTAGGATCTTTTAAATCCCTAGAAGTCCTACTTAGAACTTGGATAAACTATAGACCACCTATGACAACTACCTTTAAGACTTTCCAGCAAGACAAGGTACAAGGAAAGGATATCTGAATAGGAGGTAGTGCTTAGCTGCTCTCTTTCTCTCCCTTTTCCTTTGTATGTGTGTACTATCCCCACTATGAGTTCACAAAAGTGTTCAAAATTTCTTGGCCTTCTGTTCAGGTAGTGATTTCTAAAAAGGGTTTTAAAGATTCATTCCCAATTGCATCAGAAGAAAGACACTTATTTATTAAAGGAAATGTAAAAATCAAGCAGAGAATGCTTAAAATGGCAAAAAAAAAAAAAAAAGGAAAAGAAAAAGAAAACAAGAATCTATAGAGTGCATCACACAGCCTTACCTACTTTACAAAATGTCTTGGAGAAAATCAAAGACATCTAGATAGAGTGATTAAACAAACTCAGGTCTGGGAGGAATGTAAACTTTTTTTTTTTAAGATTTTATTTATTTATTTGACAGAGATCACAGGTAGGCAGAGAGGCAGGCAGAGAGAGAGGAGAAAGCAGGCTCCGGGCTAAGCAGGGAGCCTGATTCGGGGCTTGATCCCAGGACTGGGGATCATGACCTGAGCCGAAGGCAGAGGCTTTAACCCACTGAGCCACCCAGGTGCCCCATTAACTTATTTTCTATAATTATGTTTATATTAAATAGCCCCACTTCCCCAAGTTAATGAAAAACTAGTCTAATAAATTGAATTTTCTTTCTTTTTTTTTTTTTTTTACAAGTTTTTATTTAAATTCCAGTTAGTTAATATACAATGTTGTATTACTTTCAGGTATATAATTTAACAATTCCATATATCACCTGGTGTTCACCATAAGTGCACTCCTTAATCCCCATCACCTTTTTTACCCATCCCCTCATCCACCTCTCCTCTGGTAACCATCAGTTTGTTCTCTATAGTTAAGAGTTTATTTCTTGGTTTGCCCCCCTTTCTCTTTTTTTCCCTTTGCTCATTTGATTTGTTTCTTAAATTCCACATGAGTGAAATCATATGGTATTTGTCTTTCTCTGACTGACTTATTTCACTTAGCATAATAGTCTCTAGGTCTATACACGTGGTTGCAAATGATAAGATTTCATTCTTTTTTATGCCTGAGTAATAGTCCATTACACACACACACACACACCAGATCTTCCTTATCCATTTATCAGTAGATGGATACTTGGCTATTGCGCTATTTTCATAATTTGGCCATTGTAGATAATGCTGTAAACATTGGGGTGCATGTATCTCTTTGAATTAGTAAATTAGTATTTTTGCATTCTTTGGGTAAATCCCTAGTAGTGTGGTTGCTGATTGTAGGGTAGTTCTATTTTTAACTTTTTGAGGAAATTGCATACTGTTTCCAGAGTGGCTGCACCAGTTTACATTCCCACCTACAGTGCAAGAGGATTCCCCTTTCCTCATACCCTCACCAACATCTGTTGTTTCTTGTGTTGTTGACTTTAGGAAATTGGGTATTCTTTCAAATAATTCAGATGGGCTGATTCCTTTAAGAGTCTCCCATATGTGAGGCTGTACTTAACTTGAGTGGTGAAAGGGGCCTTGGATACGCCTTCCCAAATCCCAAGGCAGCCATTTCTACTCCTCTGATGCCCTACCATGGTGGACAGAGTGGAGAGGTAAGGCTGACTGCCTTCCCGAGAAAATGAGGTAAACACTCCGGAGCATCTGATCCTCAAACCATGTGGAGGAATTCAATTGACTTCCTCCAGGCTTAGTTCAGAGAGAGGACCAGGCACAGGATAACATTCTCTTGGACATACCAGTCTAAGTCTAAAGTCTAAATCTTAAAGTCTAAGATCTTTAGTTTCTCCTTTAGTTTTCCTCCTCATATACCCTATAGAATCATTTGCTTTTTCTCTTTGAGAACTTTTTTCTTTTTTTAAGATTTTATTTATTTACTTGAGAGAGAGACAGAGGGAGCACAAGCAGGGGGAGTGGTAGGGGGAGAAGCAGACTCCCTACTGAGCAGGGGGCCCAACGCGGGGCTCCATCCCAGAACCCAGAGATCATGACCTAAACCAAGGGCATACACTTAATCATCTGAGGCACCCAGGCATCCTGAGAACTTTTTTTTAAAAGATTTTATTTATTTATTTGACAGACAGAGTAGGCAGAGAGATAGGCAGATAGAGAGAGGAGGAAGCAGGCTCCCCACTGAGCAGAGAGCCTGATATGGGGCTGGATTACAGGACCCTGGGATCATGACCTGAGCTGAAGGCAGAGGCTTTAACCCACTGAGCCCCTCAGGCACCCCGATAACTCTTTTTTAATATAGAAAATATAGAGAACACTAAAATGAACACCTTTGTCCTCACTACCAAGGATTGAAGATTGTTAATATTTTCCTCGCACTTTTTTTGACCTATTTAAATAAAATAAAAAATCACAGAAATTTTGACACCCTTTTGGGGCTCAACTTTAATCCTCTGTTACATCTATGCTCCACTGCTCCCACATGGTGAGTCAATGCTGGTTCACAAACCTGTTTATTCCAGTTGTTCTTGTTTAATTAAATATTGTGCAACGTGATGAAATATGAATGGGAGGAAAAATAATTTATCTCCATGAAAATTAAATTCAGTGCTTTAGGAAGATTTAATAAAGGCAAATCAATAAAAGAAACTGCTGTGAATTAGGTATATGTATGACAACTGTAAAAGATTGATGGTGTTTTGTGTAAATTATAAAACCCAGAAGGATTCTGCATTGCAAGCACTTTGCATATGTTTTTAAGTTCTTGTTCCACTTTAAAGAAGTCAAAACTGAAAGCCTTAGGTGATATACTATTGCTGTGGTTTATGAAAAAAGAAGGGATGCTGAATTCCAAACAGTGGATTCATATGCAAAGTAAAGGTCTTGGTCCTACTTTGAAAGATTGTCAAATGAATATATGTTCATGCAAATTAAAATGAATATTTGAGGTATGCATGTATGTGTGTGGCAAAAGGTATAAATTAAACAGAGAGGTCCATGAGTAAGAGAATTGGAATTGAAATTGGTAAGTAGAAGGTAAGAAGTCATTCAGGAAGGTAAAGAGGATGAAGGCCAGATTTCAGGAGAATAAGGTGAAAAATAAAACTACTGTATGGAGAAAAATTAATCAAGAAGCTTAATAGAAATAAATCATTAATAACAAATGGTAAGAGGGATGCCTGTGTGGCTCAGTTGGTTAGGGATCAGACTCTTGATTTCAGCTCAGGTCATGATCTCAGGGTTGTGGAATTGAGCCCCACATCAGGCTACCTGCTCAGTGGGGAGTCTGCTGGAGATTGTCTCCTCTCCCTCTGCTCTTCCACTGCTCATGTGTGCGTGCCTGCACTCTCTTTTTTTCTCTCTAAAAAATATATATATAGGGATGCCTGGGTGGCTCAGTTGGTTAAGCAGCTGCCTTCGGCTTGGTCATGATCCCAGGGTCCTGGGATCGAGTCCCATATCGGGCTCCCTGCTCGGTGGGGAGCCTGCTTCTCCCTCTCCCTTTGCCTGCTGCTCCCTAAGGCTGCTTGTGCTAGCCTATCTTTCTCTGTCAAATAAATAAATAAATAAAAATCTTAAAAATATATATATATATAAATAAGTCTTTAAAAAAACAAATCTTAAATAAAACAAATGGTAAGAGATAACATTTATTGAATACTTATTGCATGTGGGCATGATCTCAGATGTTTTCCATGCACTGTTTTTTTCACAAACAACTTAGGAGGTAAGTACAACATTGTCTGTACCAAGTTAGACAGCTAGAAAGCGAAATAGATTTTTCTGTCAAAGCACATTCTGAGGAGGGGAAACCTCAAGATGTTTCTGATGAGAGAATATCCTAGGGAAAAAAATTATAAAAGGTTTAAATCTACAGCAAACTAGGCGCCCCTGGGTTAAGTGACTGACTCGGTTTCAGCTCAGGTCATGATCTCATGGGTCTTAGAATCAAGCCCTGCGTTGGGCTCCACATTCTGTAGGGAGTCTGGTTGAAAGACTCTCTCCCTCTGCCCTTCCTCCTGCTCTCTCTTTCTCTCTCTCTCTCAAATAAACAAATAAATCTTTTAAAAAACAAACTGTAAGTTATTAAGTGTTCTTACCAATATTCACTTAAATGTGCAAGTTTTTCCCTCTTTACATAGGTGATTTAAAAATTCATCTTTAACAGTTCTGAAGTCCCTTCTAAGTTCACTCAAGTCCCACAGACCAGATGGAGGAAGAAAATGAGAAAAAAAAAAAAATTAATGTTATGCCTTATAGCTCAGCATAGGGAATTAATTCAGTGAGTGTTCTAAATAATCTGGTCCTACCCTACGTCAGAAACCAAGTGATTTTATTAGCATCTAAAAACAAATAGGGGCACCTGGATGGCTCAGTTGGTTAAGCATCTAATTCTTGATTTCGGCTCAGTCATGATCTCAGGGTTGTGAGATTGAGCCTTGTGTTGGGCTCCATGCTGAGTCTGGAGCCTGCTTAAGATTCTCTCTCTCTCTCTCTCCCTCTGCCCCTCCCCCACTCAAAAAAAATTTTTTTAAAATGTAATGTAAACCAGTAAACCATTTTAAACCATTTTAAAATGTAAAATGTAATGTAAACCAGTAAATTTTACTGGTTTCTATCTTAAAGGTGGTCTCTGATTTTGTCTCTAATTCTGAAGGGCATGCTATTGGGAGCTTAGAATTTTCTCCAACATAAACACAATAAACAGTGCTGCTGAATAAAACTAACTGAGTAATTACTTCAAGCAGAAAAAAAAGATTTTTCCAAATGACTTAAGTAACTTTTGTGTGGCTTATTCAAAAATTTTTAAAAAATGGAACTTTCATCAAAGAAAAACAATAAATTCAAGAGTAGTTCTCTTCAGAAGAAAAAGCTAAGCTAATTGTATAAGTAAAACTATCTGAAGAGAAATAGTATGAATATTCTTTTCACATCAATGACTCTGAAACCAGTTATCTGCAGAAAACATAACAGATTGAATTTCCATGGCTAATTAAGAACAGATACAGGTTTGATACCTTTGGGATTCTGGCAGCAATGATTCTAATTTTGTGTCCCCTACCAATTTACATTTGCACACAGTGAATGTGACAGTGATAGCCAGATTAGACTGATTATTTTGTCAAATACAGAGTTGCAAAACAACAGAGGCAGAGTAAAGTCAGAGTCACAGAATTTAACCTCTTGAGACATTAATTATCTCACAGTTTTAAACACTGTGGCTCTAATAAATGAACAACAGACTAATATTTAGTAGATGTTAACTGATTTTTCTAGCTATGGGAAGAAACAATAGCAAATTAATTAGATTCTTATTTTGCTTTTCAAATTAATTCTTACAGTCTACATTTGAAGACTCTGAACCCAATAAAAGTAAGATATGACTCTTGAATCTACAAATCAGTGCATAGGAACAGTTAACCCTGAAATAGATCCAAGAGTGGATAAAAACCTACCTACTATCTAATAACGGGAGTATCACTAACCAATAGACACAAAATGGATTATTTCACGAAAGACATTGGGAAACACAGTTATTTGAAAGAAATTCAAATTCACTTTGTGCCAAAATAATTCTGGAGAAATTTGAACGGCAATACACATTTTAACCATTAAAAATACTAGAAGAAAATATGAAATTTTAGTCGTATTTAACTGATCTCAAAAGTTAAAAGGACATTTTAAACATAATATCCCTGGAAATATAAGAAAGGAAATCTCAAGAGGTTTTTTAGTATATTCTATCCCATGGTTTGTTCCAGTACTTTAAAAAAAATTCCCTTGTTATTATAAGCACTGCTTCTGTAAAGTCCTTACATATGTACCTTTTGCAAAGATGGTAAATTCCTAACATTTTTAAAAAAGATTTTATTTATTTATCAACAGAGAGAGCGCTCGAGAGTACAAGCAGGGGGAGTAGCAGACTCCCTGTGGAACAAGGAACCTGATGAGGGGCTCAATCCCAGAACCCTGGGATCTTGACCTGAGCCAAAGACAGACACTTAACCAACTGAGCCACCCAGGTGTCCCTTCCATTAATGGTTAATGAGAGTGCTTGTCTCCACTTCTTTCCCAGCCCTACATATTATCAAATTTAGAAGGTTTTTGCCAATCTGATAAGTATCTTATCGTTGCTTCTCGCACTTTTACATTTTTTTTTCTTAATTTAGCTCTTTAATCCACTTGCCATTTTATTTTAAGGCTTGTCCAAGTTAAGGACTTCACCATTTTTCCCCTTTAAGATATTGAGGGTTCCACCAGAGAGACAGCCAGGTGTCCTAACATCAGTGAATTATCAGTCAGTCCTTTCCTCAATTGTTTGAAATGTCACACCCATCATATACTCGTGTGCACGTATATATTGATCCTTTTTTGTACTTTTGGTTCCATTTTGTAGGTCCTTTTGGACATTTATCTGCCAGTGCCAACTTATGAAATATTCTGGTAACTGCAGGGCACCTAGCTATCTTAATATTCCTCTTTCTCAATAATATATTTTTTTAAGTGTGGTAAGTTAGTTCTTTTAGTTTTTTCTTTTTTTAAAAGATTTTATTTATTTATGTGACAGAGAGAGAGAGAGAGAGGGCACAAGCAGGGGGAGCTGCAGACAGGAGAGCAGGCTGAGCAGGGAACCTGATACGGGGCCTGATCCCAGGACCCTGGGATCAGGACCTGAGCCGAAGGCAGACGCTTAACCAACTGAACCACCCAGTTGCCTCCATCCTAACTCTTCTTATCCATTTTCTCTTCTGGATAAATTTTAGAACCAACTTGTCCAGTTAAATCAAGTTGTGGTGAGGGGGTGCTCATTGTCTCAGCTGGTAAAGCATGTGACTCTTTATCTCAGGATCCTGAGTTCAAGCCCCACATTGGGTGTAGAGCTTACTTAAAAGAAAATCCAGTTGAAATTTTGATTAAAATGAGAGTGAATTTGTAGATTCATTTGGAACAAATTAAGTTTCTCACCCAGGAATTATGCATGTTTTCCCACTTATTCAGAGATTTATTTTTTCCTTTAGAAAATTTCATGGTTTTCTTCATATGAAGAACATTTTACATATTTTTACACATTTCTTGCTGAATGAATGAACGAATGAATCAGTGAATTCACAAAATAACTTTTTGTGGTAGATTCAGGGGGTGTAGCAATGAACAAGACAAGTTCCCTGTTCTCACAGAGCTTACGTTCTATTTGAGAAAGATGGTCAATAATCAATAAATTAAAAAGGATCAGATAGTAAGAAGTCCTCTGTAGAGATTTAAAGTAGGATTATTGCAGAGGCTACGTTTAGACAACAGGCTTGTGCCATGGAAACTTGATTACAGCAAAAGGGCCGCAGCAACCACCTGGCTGAACACAGGCAGACCCATCAGTTCACCCAGCTCAAAATGTCCATAAGCCCTAGCTGACCAATGGGCTATTTACATCCAGGCACAGTTACCAAAAAAGGGAAAATTCCATATGTCCCCATACCTCTTTGCTTCCCACTTTAAATATAGTCCCCACCTATTGCCTCGTGGCAGACAGTCATCGCTCCTTTGCTGTCCTGCTCACTATTCCCTTGCAGTGTATTCAATAAACTTCTTTCTTCTTTGTTCTGCCTGAGGTAAATTCTTTCATTGACTGCACCACTGGCTTTCACCCAATCGTCACCCCACATTTGTTTCCTACATCCAATCAGGTGGAGATATTATGTGATAGAGATATTGGGTGGCTATTTTAGACTGGCTGACTAGGAAAGTCTCTCAATATTTAGACCAAGGTCTGAATAGCAAGAGTCCATCTTCATTAAGCTGCTCAGCATTCTAAGGAGAGGGAACAGCTAATGCAAAAAGTCCTAAGGCCATTAAATAGCTTAGTTGTTTCAAAGAACAGGAAACAGGCCATTGAGGCTGGAGTGTAGTGGGGAGGGGGGAAACTGTTAAATAATGTTAGACAAACATTTAGGGACCAAATAGATCATGTAGGGTTTTTTTGTTTGTTTGTTTGTTTTTAAAGATTTTATTTCTTTGTCAGAGGGAGAGAGCACAAGCAGGGGGAGCGGCAGGTAGAGGGAGAAGAAGCAGGCACCCCACTGAGCAGGCGGCCTGAAACATGGTTGGATCCCAGGAGCCTGGGATCATGACCTGAGCCAAAGGCAGACACTTAATCAACTGAGCCACCCAGGCGTCCCTCATGTAGGTTTTCATAAGGAGTTTGCATATTATTTTATTTTATTATTTTTATTAAAGAATAATTAACATACAATATTGTATTAGTTTCAGGTGATATTTATATACATCATGAAATGGTCACCACAAAAATATAGCTACATCTGTGACCATACAAAGTTGTTACAATATTATAGACTATATTCCCTATGCTGTACATTGCATCCCTATGTCTTATACATTTTATTTTTTATTTCATTTATTTTTTTAAAGAAATTTTATTTATTTATTGGACAGAGGGAGAGAGATCACAAGTAGGCAGAGCAGCAGGCAGAGAGAGAGGGGGAAGCAGACTCCCCACCAAGCAGGGAGCCTGATGTGGGGTTTGATCCCAGGACCCTGAGATCACGACCTGAGCCGAAGGCAGGGGCTTAACCCACTGAGCCACCCAGGCGCCCCTGTCTTATATATTTTAGAACTGGAATATTGTACCTCTTAATTCCCTTCACTTATTTTATCTATCTCCCCACCCCCATCCATATTGTTTTAAATGTGATGGGAAGTCATAGAGTGTAGTGAGTAGCAAAATGACTTGATCTGATTTATGATTTTGAAAGCTCATGACAGTAGCCAGTGGAAAAAGCACTGCAGGGGAACAGAGTGAAAGAAAAGAGACTTGTGGGGAGATTAATGTAGTGGTTCAAGTAGGGGGTAATAGTGGCTTGGACTGGGCTGACAGTGGTGGGGGCAGTGAGAAGTGGTAGGCAGGTTCAGTATTCATACTGGAGATTTAGTCAAAAGGATTTGCTGATAGAGTAGAAGGATTGGAAACTGGTGGGAGGATGGAATGGGGAGGAGAATGGAGGAAAGAGAAGAACAAAGAAATTCTTAGGTTTTATTTTTTTTTTAATATTTTATTTATTTATTTGAGCGAGGGGAGGAGCAGAGGGAGAAGAAGCAGACTCCCTGCTGAGCACAGAGCCTGCCATAGGCCTCAATCCAGGATGCTGAGATCATGATCTGAGCCAAAGTCAGATGCTTAACCGACTTACCAGGCACCCGAACCCCTAGGGTTTTTTTTTTTGTTTGTTTGTTTTTTAAGATTTCATTTATTTGACAGAGAGAGATCACAAGTAGGCAGAGAGGCAGGCGGGGGCGGGGGAGCAGGCTCCCCACTGAGCAGAGAACCTGACTCCGGCCTGGATCCCAGGACCCTGAGATCATGACCTGAGTGGAAGGCAGAGGCATAACTACTGAACCACCCTGGCACCCCTCAACTCCTAGTCTTTTTTGGGGGTTGAATGGCATAGTGGATGGTGATGCTTACTGATGTGTGTAAGACCGTGGAAGGTGAGCCATGGTCCTGGATGGTATTACTAAGGGAGAGCATATAGGAAAAGCAAAGAGCTAAGGACCAAACCCTGGTCTCTCCCAACAATTTAAGGTCTGGCTAGGGAGAAATCAGCAACTGAAAATGAGAAGGGGTGGTTTGTCAATGGGGTAGGAAGAAAACCAGGATCGTGTGGTTTCTTTTAAGCCAAGAGAAGAAGTTTTTAAAAAGAAGTGATGATTCTCCTTGTTACGAAGTTTCAAGAAGGAAACTGGTTCTATTTGCTTTTTCATTTGGAGCAGAGTCAGAACAGAAAAGTCATCACTAGCTTTGGGAATAAAGTCTGATTATGTTACAAAAACAGTGCCAAAAGAATGATGGGGATGGTTGCTTGTTTGGAATAGGTTTAGGAGAAATTATAAGGTAGGAATTAGAAGTAGAATTTAGATAGAGACAACTCTTAGAAAAAATCTTCCCGTGAAGAGAAACAGAGAAATGGGATAGTGTAAGGGGTCGGAAGTTTTTGTTGTTGTTAATTAAAACAGAAATCAGAACATGTCTGTGTGCAGATGGAAATGACCATGTAAAAAAGGAAAAATTGATGAGGTAGGAGCAAGAAAAGATAAATGATGAAGTAAAGTTCTGGAAGAGAGAAAAGAAAGGATCTGGAATACAAATGGAGGGTTTAATAGTAGCAAGCCCACTTCATGAAGAGGAAAATGAGGAACTGAGAGGCCACAGTATTGGATGGAAAATGTGGATAATATTTTGAAAAAGTGGCTGAGATGTGCCAAAAGTAGTGGAAGAAAGGAAGACAGTGAACCAGGAACAAATGAAGGAGTTCCTAGGGATCAGTAGGTGATGACATCTTGGTGTAGAATCGGCTGGCAGTACCTTTAAAAGAGCCTGGGTTTTTGAAGAAGAAAGAAAAATGATTTGGAGGCAACATGAAGAGCAGTTTTGAAGATAAGAGTGAAGTAAAATAATCTCCACTTGGAAAGTTGCAAGAGAGGTAGTTTTGCCAGGTGATAAACCAGTTTTCAGTTGGAACAGGAAGTTGATGGGAACATTTAGAGAAGAGGTGAAGAATAAAGGGGAAATGGCTGTTAACAGATGTTGAAATCTTAAGTGTGGAGTGAAATGGTTAGAATGGTTAGTGAAAAGTAGACACTGAATGAGATTGATGAAAATGGAGGGTAGCATGGAGATGCTAATCAGGCTAATCGTATATGACCTGGAGGCTACTGGTTGTGATTGAATGAAAAGGATTATAAAGCGTGGTGGAATTATCTTTTTTGTAATCTCTAGGGAGGGAGGAAAGGTGGGCAAACTGTTAAAGATGAGTAATATGGAGCTACACAAACTGTTCTTTCTTGCAGGTCTCATGGTTTGGAGGCCACTGGATTAGAACTGCGAATTTTTCATTTAGAATTTTTGCATTTACAGTTATATAGTCTATAGATTTCCTCCTACTCTTTTTTTTTTTTAAAGATTTTATTTATTTTTTTATTTTTATTTATCAGAGAAAGAGAGAGAGTGGGAGAGTACAAGCAGGCAGAGTGGCAGGCAGAGGCAGAGAGAGAAGCAGGCTCCCTGCCCAGCAAGGAGCCAGATGGGGGACTCGATTCCAGGACCCCCGCATCATGACCTGAGCTGAAGGTGACTGAGCCACCCGGGTGTCCAGATTTCCTCCTACTCTTTTTTTTTTTTTTTTTTAAGATTTTATTTATTTCTTTGACAGAGATCACAAGTAGGCAGAGAGGCAGGCAGAGAGGGGGGCGGGGAAGCAGGGTCCCCGCTGAGCAGAGAGCCTGATGCGCCGCTGGATTGCAGGACCCGGGGATCATGACCTGAGCTGAAGGCAGAGGCTTTAACCCACCGAGCCATCCAGGCGCCCCATCCTCCTACTCTTAATAATTGTTAGGTTTTGGTAACTGGATTGTGATCTTTCAAAACAAGCTGGGACTTTATCCAAGTATTTTCACCTTGAAACTATGTGGTCTAATGTATTTTGATACAGGGGCTTATCTCTTGACTACATTTATTTTCTACGTAACTGTAATTTTATGTAATTCGTATTCTCTACATTTTGAGCTGATTTGGTTAGTCTTATTTTTATTGGTTCAAAGAGTTTTCCTATTTGTACTTCTCGTGACTTTTTGTGTGTGTGTGCCAATTGTTGGATGAACATTTTCCTCACTCCCATTTCTGTATTAGTGTCACTCCATTTGAGACTCTCAAAAAACTGTACAGGAAAGGACACACCGGAGTATTGATGAAGTGGCTAAAATCGGGAAAAAAAAACTTTTTCTTTTTTAAAGTGAACTTTAAATTGATTCTCTGCGATAAAATTTGCTGCCGAGAACATACTAACCTCCCGACTCTTGAGGCTTCATTTGTGGAAATCGCTGCAAAGGTTTCAGATCTTACAATACGGCGTACTGGGTGAAGAGGTGGGAACGTAACCAAATTGTTACAGCACAGGTGCGCTTGGCAGTTTCCACAAGCTATTTTCAAGTGGTAACTTCAAGTGATACACCAAAGGCATAAAATACTTAACCCAGGGCTCTTTGGAAAAAGTACTAGGCTTAATAAAAGCTGAAAAGATGTTTAAAATTAGCTAAAATATAACCCTTCTAAGTCTCTGACATACCTAGTTAGGTGAGACAGGACTGTTCAGCGGATGGTGGAAATTTTCCCAAGCTTCCTTAACAACACAAACTGGACAGCCTGCTTCAACTCCCGGTCGGATACATCCCACCCAAATCCAGTAAGAGTGCCACACTTTTGTGCAGCGTGCCCACAAACGACCTTCCAAAGTGAGGTTTCCCGCCATTTCACTTCAAGGAATGGAAGGTTTACCCCCCGCCGCCCAGCTTCTCTACACTCCTGGGAGGCCCGAGCCTACGGGGCTATCCCCGCAAGGCAAGCTGTGAAACGCCAAGGGCTGTAGACTGCATTACGATCCCGGCGACTGAGCCCAAAAGGTGACAGCCCAGGCTCCTCGGTAAGTACTCAGCGTACGACGAAAACCCGGAGAGCGAAAACACCCAAAGCAAAAGAGAAAGCCAAGCCCGCCACAGGCGGGCCCAGGGCCCGCGCAGGAGCACGGTGCGCGGCCGTTGCTGGGAGGAGCGAGGGTTGGGGGGTGGAGGGCGGGCTTGGTCCAACTCGACTCCTGATTGGCCCGGTCCAGAGAGCCGAGTGACGACAACCGGGGAGAACGTCTGATTTGTGTAGTGGACGCGGGCAGGCGGGGAAGCGCATTGCGCAGGCGCAGATGCTCGGCTCCTCTCGTCTTAGAGCTCCGGCCCAGCTCTCGCGGACAAGTCCCGACATCGCGCGCCCCCCCCACCGGGACCGCCCCCTCCCCCCTCTCGGCGTCGTCGAAGATAAACAATAGTTGGCGGGCGGGCGCGGAGTGTGTCTCCCGCCGCCGGATTCGGCGGGCTGCGTGGGACCGGCGGGATCCCAGCCAGCCGGCCATGGCGGGGCTGTACTCGCTGGGAGTGAGCGTCTTCTCCGACCAGGGCGGGAGGAAGTACATGGAGGACGTTACTCAAATCGTGGTGGAGCCCGAGCCGACGGCTGAAGAAAAACCCTGGTCGCGGCGGTCACTCTCTCAGCCGTCGCCTCCGCAGCCGTCACCGCCAGCTCTTGCTGGCAGCGAAGTCTTGGGGAAAGGCCCAGTGGTGGCAACCCGAGAGGCTCGCGACCCTCCCCCGGACGCCGCGGCCTCTCCAGCTCCCGGTCGCTGCTGTCGCCGCCGTTCCTCAGTGGCATTTTTCGCCGTGTGCGACGGGCACGGCGGGCGGGAGGCGGCACAGTTTGCCCGGGAGCATTTGTGGGGTTTCATCAAGAAGCAGAAGGGATTTACGTCGTCCGAGCCGGCGAAGGTTTGCGCTGCCATCCGCAAAGGCTTCCTCGCTTGTCACCTCGCCATGTGGAAGAAACTGGGTAAGTTCGCTGCTTGTTTGCCGCCCGCCTCTTTTTCGGGCAGTTGAGGGCTCCTCTCAGAGCGCCAGCACCGCGTGGTCCCCGGCTCCGAGAGCGCTACAAAGTGCACATTGGTGAGAGTGAAGTCTCTCCTCGGTCGGGTCGCGCTTTCCAGGGGGGTGGAGGGCCGGCCAAAGTGGCCCCGGGAGAGATCGGATCGCTCTATTCCGCCGCCGCCCAGCGCCTTATTTCCACCCTCTCAGAAGCCAGGAAAGCGGTCCTCTCCCGGCATCACTTTTTTGGTGGCAGGCTGCGAATAGTGTTTGAAACCTGGCGCCAGATTTTGGCCAAAAGATGAATTCAGAACACTTGGTACCTGAGCCCCACGCAAAGGAAGCCGGAGACGGCAGAAATGAGACTGCTGCCTTAGAATCTGTCATAATTTTTGCTCTTGAAGGACTTGTCCCTGTCGGGTTGCCTCCTACCGGTGGTGTCAGTTCACCAAATTGACCCTAGGTGGCTGGCAGTTGAAGTATACTGTAGACTAATTAAGAAGGCCAAATGTAATCATCCAGCGACTTAAATAAAGTCTTGGGAGGAATTCGGTTGTGTTGATCATAAAATGGGTTTAGTATCTTTATGGTTGTACTGCTTATGAAAAACAAAAGCGAAGAATGCGTTGTTAGGTCTTAAACTGGCCCCACGTTAGGGGTGTGTGTTAAATTCTACTAGGGCTTTTTAAATGTATACTTTTTTTTTAAGTTGCCTTCGCGAATTGCTGTCAGATAGTTCTCACCAGTTACCAGTTAAAAGTTGTAACTGCCCGTCAAAGTTATAAGAGATAGGAAATTACTGATCAGCTAAAAGGAAATAGCTTACTTTCTAAAAATTCGGGGGAATTGTAGTTTCATCTAAACTTTAAATTAGTTTTCTAAAGTATCCAGTGTTTCTGTACCCGACATGTGTTATCATACAGACTTAGAGCTGGTTTTGCATTGCGTTGTATGAATGGCGTGAGTCTTTTTTAGAGAAAAGATCGTAACTTCTGTCATTAAAAAAAATCCTCTTGTTTAATGGTAGCATAATGTTGCTTTATTTATAGCAGAGGGATAGAGAGAGAAGAGTGTAAAGATTGGTCAAACAGAGAACATTTTTTACAAAG